GAGGAGGAGGAGGTGGAGGAGGAGGAGGAGGAGGTCGAGGAAAAAAAGGAATCACCAACCAAAGAGGAAGGACAACACGCGACCACCCAGGAGGAACAAAGACATTTGACAGGAGAGAAAAGTGACAGGCGTCAGAGCAGACTGGGCGAGGAGGAAGGACAGTCAATGATTTCCAAAAGAGAAAAAAAGAAGGCGATTGTTGGGAAAGAGGAGAAAAGGAAGGAGGGAAAAGCGACAGCGGTCAGTGAAGAGGAGATGGAGGAGGACGAGACGGGTAAGGTCGAACAGAAGCAAAAAGAAGAGGGAGAGAAAGTTGAAGGAAAGGAAAAAGTAAGAGAGAAGGAGGAGGAAGAACAGGAGCAAAAAGAAGAGGTAGAGAAAGGTGAAGGGAAGGAAAAGGTCGGAGAGAAGGAGGAAGAGGAGGAAAAGGAGCATGAAAGTGAGATAAAAGAGGAATCGCTGCAAGGAGCCAGAAGGAAGATCATCATTTTGCCAGGGAGGTACTATAAGAAGGACCACGATGAGGCTCAGGCAAAGTCCCGAAAACATGGCAGAGGCAAGAGGAGGACTAGGCGACTGTTGAGTGAGAGGGAGATCTCGGATCTAGTACTCGAGGTAATGCTTCACGAATACACGCTTGGTTCGTTTTTAGCTTTAGTGGAGGTTTTACGGCGTTCGCAGCTACATACGGTCATATGAGCGCCAAGGGGTGGATGTCAACAGAGAAGTCCTTACAGGGAATCGGGCTTACTCTGCTCACCTCTGTAGCTTCGACAGCACAAAATTGGTACTCTCAAGATTTTCCGTTTGTGACTACATTCATTTTCCCCCTGTAGTCTTCGTAATATTGTACAGAGTGATAAAAACAACAACTTTACAACTTTTTTTCTGAATATCTCTCGCAAAAAGCGTTCTAGAATGCTGTTATTTGGAACAGACATAATTCATTCAAAAGGAATTTGCTTGATATAAAATCCAAGAAAAAGAAACGTGTTTTGAAACGGAAACGGCTAAAAGAAAAAAAGCACTCAAAAAAACGCAAAGTTCACCAATGTTTAAAAATCTTTGAAAGGAAGTCGTGAAAAGATTAGTTGACCTTTTTCTTTATTTTCTCTTTGACATTATTTTTCCATCTCTGTGACATTTAAACAATATTTAATTTCTCTTACAGAGTTTAATAAACCTAATGATTTCATTCTGAAATTCCTAGAAGCAGTGCTCCACATTTTTAATGCGTCGTTCGAAATGTTCAGTGGCGCCCTAACACAAGGACCTGCTAAACCGTGAGTTTTTAAAGCCACATACACTGTACATGTTCACTAAGAAGTGGCTTCTAGAGACAATAGAGTGGGGTGCCCAATAGACAGCATTTTTGGAGTTAACATATCCCGCAGGGGGGAAATGGGCTTTGCACCAAACCAAATGTCACCGAGGAAATGATCCCTCTTTACAAGACAATCGACGAATCATGAACACATTGCCATGCTCTGATCCATTTCATCTCGGCCAAGCGGAGATGAACATGGTTTAGTCTTAGGTTAAGATCTGCCATGAGAATGCAGACTGTTGATGTGTAGGAAAGTCCTAGCTGCTGATCATCCACGGACAGATGTCTCATGGGACTCTGCTGCTGAAATCTGCACTCTGATGATGTTCAAAGGGCTGCGCATGGTGCGTGTTCGACCTGAAGTGGTCATTTTTTAAAGAACTTTTTAGTTCTGATTCGCTATAGATCCAAACTGACGGAACTGCTCTACTCAAGACACAAACGGTCTTTAGGGCACCTCAGCATTCTCTCCATGCCGTGTGCAGAACTTACCGAATGTCAGGGATGGTGAGTTTGTGGAGAGGTAATGTTCAATACAAAAAGCTCTCTGCTCTGTACTAAATGTAAGCACGATCTAAGCAGGCAAACAAAATTTGGGAAAGATAATATCTGCAGACTTCTGTTGACTTTTTAGACTGCTGTAGCTTGCAATATGGCGCGATTGTTACAACTTTTAGTGGTAGGCATAATGCGAACTGGTGCGTCATACTATGAAAATGGCGACAAGGTTGAAAATGGGTTGTTTTTTTAATGCGCTATATAGAGCAAAACCATTCAATGGACTTATCTAAAATACATATCAGACAAATTCCTTTTGGCTTCCAAGCGTTATGTTCAAATCTGAAACGCAAAACTTCAGTATGGAGGAAGATATTTAAAAAACAAGTTGTAAAGGGTTTTTTTTTTATCACCTTGTATTTACGCTTTCAATCTTGTTTCTGTCCATTACGTGGCCTTTTCAGGCAGAGACTGAGCCCATGCCCTATTTCTTTCCCTGGTATTTCTGTCTATCAGTTTCACGTGGCCTAAACTCAGAGTTCTATAAACTATTTATATCTGAGCTGACGCTCGGATCTTCTTCATAAAGACTTCATATATATGTCTTCCCTCTCGCCTTTTCAGAGAGTTACAATATAAAATGGGACTGAGTCGATATGCGGGTGCTCTGGGGTGGTTTGCGTCTTCTTTCCTATCAAACGTCTATCGTCGGTATCTCTTCTTCTCCTTTTTTGTGTTTGTTACTCTCTTGTAACACCTCTAATCTTCGGCACTTATATGACCTTATTGTGCTGCAAGTGCCGTAAAACTCCTACTAAAACAAACTTCATAAAGTCTTCATATCAGTCTTCCCTCTGGCCTGTTCAGAGAGTTACGCTATAAACTGTGACTGACTCGATAATAATAATGTTTCTGTCCTATGTAAACCAACACCCCCCCCCCCAGCACATGGAGAGCGAAGACAAAGCAGCACTGGAGGCCCACATCCCGGCTCTAGACTACAGACCAGACATACCGTCAGAGAGACCTGTGGAGAGAGTCGACGAGTATTTCGCCAAACACAGAATCATGGAACTTTGCAACGTGAGTGGGTTCAGGGAAAAAAAAGATGTGTGCTT